GGACATTACTCTAAAAGTATAAGAGGTATCAACATGAAACTTTGTAGGTAGATAGATCTCATTGAGTAGGTGTGCAGTGCACAAGAACCGTAACTCTGCCTTGCCTAATTTTTGAATTACCCCCCTTTGTTTATTTTACACTTTGAAATTTGTCCGGGACATAACTCTAAAAGTATAAGAAGTATCAACATGAAACTTTGTAGGTAGATAGTTCTCATTGAGTTGGTGTGCAGTGCACAAGAACCGTAACTCTGCCTTGTCTAATTTTTGAATTATCACCCTTTGTTTATTTTACACTTTGAACTTTGTCCGGGACATAACTCTAAAAGTATAAGAGGTATCAACATGAAACTTTGTAGGTAGATAGATCTCATTGAGTAGGTGTGCAGTGAACAAGAACCTTAACTCTGCCTTGCCTAATTTTTTGAATTATCCCCCTTTGTTTATTTTTACACTTTGAACTTTGTCTGGGACATATTTCTTAATGTATAAGAGATATCAACATGAAACTTTGTAGGTAGATAGATCTCATTGAGTAAGTTTGCAGTGCACAAGAACTGTAACACTGTCTTGCCTACTTTTGTAGTTATTGCCCTTTGTTCATTTTGACACTTTGAACTTTGTCTGGGACATTACTCTAAAATTATAAGAGATATCAACATGAAACTTTGTAGATAGATAGGTCTCATTGGGTGGAAGTGCAGTGCTTAAGAATCATTACTCTGCCTTGCCTTATTTTGAAGTAATTGCCCTTTGTTTATTTTTACTTTTTGACTTTTGTCCTGGACATTACTTTAAAACTATTAGAGATATCAACATGAAACTTTGTAGGTAGCTAGATATAATTGGATAGAACTGCAACGCTTCAAGAACCTAAACAAAGCCTGGTCTAATTTTGGAGTTATTGCCCTTTGTTCATTTTTTTTATACTTTCCTGTGTCCAGAACCTTCTCGGGGAGCATCACCCGGTTCAACCGGTTCTTGTTTTATATTACTTTTTACTGTGGCATAATTCAAAAGTTATAAGTGTTATGAAACTTTATTGGTGGATAAATCTCATAAAGAAGTGAAAAAAGAACTAGAACTTTATTTTGTATAATGTTGGATTTATTGCTCTTTGTTATTTTTCATAGTAAATTATTTTGTCTAGAGCATGTGATGTAATGTTTATAATACCTTATAAAGCAGTGTAATTTCTTAATGTTTTACCTACATGTATATATTTTTATCATTAATAACTGATAACATATTTTTATTGTTATATTTCAGGGCTGGTTTTTCGAGAAGTTAAATGATCACATGTACACACTGCCGTGGCATGTCCACTATAAGATCAGACAAAACGCAACATTAAATCCGGAAACCAACATAATTAGACCACCATTCTGGTACCCAAGCACTGGTTCAAATGATTTACTCTACTATGACTTTGGTTTTGTGTGGATACAGGTGAAAGATATTTATTTTGTCATAGTTTTTAACCGAAACTGTGCGCAATTCATGTTAAAAATATACATTGCTACTGATTGAAATTTCAATGAAGAATCTCTAATTAGAGATCATCCAGTTGTCTGGTCAGAGTTTATAGATATGCAGCCTGGCCTTTTATTTGTGGTAATAGATAGTTTTCATGTGACGTCATGACTTCCCATCATCCGTCTGCCGTGGCCGCCATTTTGATTGGCAAACAATACAGTTCAGTGGTTCAATGAACCTATATGTAAACAATCTAAATTTAGAACAGAAATGGTAATTTCTTGTTGGGTTAATGGTTGCAGTAATCGTGCAAACCAAAGGTGTAGCTTTGGATTTTATTCAGTTCCATCTGTCAGAGAATGAGAAGGAGAATTTACGAAGAGTTTGACAGAAGGGCGACGAATACTGCGGATTTCTAAAGTTAACATTACGCAAAAGATGCACCGACGAAATATTCTAAAATTTGCTCCAATCATTTCCTGAAAGGTTTGTCAAATCATATAAAATAAGATATGAAGCTTCGTGTTATTTATTTCTGCAAATATAAAATTATTGAGTAAAATAGTAAATGTAAGGTAAATCTGGAGCGAAATGTACATACAACAGTTGGCGCAATGTGCCGTCATCTCCGACATCAGCAATTCTGTCTTACATTAAATAATAGATCCAGATGCATATGAAAACCTATTTCTCATGTTATTTTTGAAACTAAATTTTTGAATATTTGACTGTTTCAGGAAAACCTGCATCTATGTACCATGGCTCAGATCCAGACTTGGCTCCTACGCTAAATTTAGATGGTGTTATGACTCCAACAAAATCAGTGTTGAAGAAAAAAAGATTGAAAAGGAAAGTAAAAGGTAATTTAGAGTTCATTTATTTCAATTTAAATTTACAACACATTCTGACACACTGACAGCGTAACATTGTCCAGCGAATCAGTAATTTTTGAATTCAATGAAGTAGAAACAGAGACTTGTACATTTACTTGGAAAGGGAAAACAGAAGTCCCTGGGAAGTCTTTACAACCATGTAAGGAAAATGATCAAGAAACATTAAATGAATTAGATAGTAAAATTAATTCTGACTTTTGTCGGAGAATGAGGCTTTAAAATCAGAACTGAACTCATTCTACATGAACCAAGAAAGTTTCAAAGAAGATAATGAGAAAGTAAAATATTATACAGGCCTTCCATATTATCTGACTTGGATGGTGGTTATGAATTTAGTGTCACCATTTCTTAAAATGAAATAGAATATGTGTCTTGAGGCATTTGAGAGAGCGTTGCTCACTTTTATGAGACTGAAACATAATTTCCCATTGTAAGATTTGGCATATAGATTTAAGACTTCATCCTGACCACAGCATCAAGTATATTTACTTTGGTTATACATATTATGTTTGTTAGAATGAAACATTTCATATATTGGCCAGAAAGAGAAGAACTGCAGACCACAATGCCTCTTGAGTTCCGCAAACATTCTGCTAGGAAAACTTCTGTCATAATTGACTGCTTTGAAATATTCATAGCATGACCAAAAGCTCTGCTGGCTCGTGCACAAACTTGGAGCAAATTTATAAGCACCATAATACCCTTAAATTCCTGGCATTATTCATAATTCATATTAAGTAATTTTCATTCATACAGGACCTGGTAGAGAGAGCAATTATTGAGATACAGGAAAGCCGGTAACCAGACCAGGAACTTTCATCCATACAGGACCTGGTAGAGAGAGCAATTATTGAGATACAGGTTGGAAAGCCGGTAACCAGTCCAGGAACTTTCATTCATACAGGACCTGGTAGAGAGAGCAATTATTGAGATACAGGTTGGAAAGCCGGTAACCAGTCCAGGAACTTTTTTACACAGAATGCCATATCCTTGTTGGGCTGTGGGGATGCGTGAGTTGTCTCCCTTGATACTCTGTTAAATAAGCAATGGTTCACTGCCTGCCCGTCTGCCGATGGAGCTTTAGAGAAATTTAACAGAACTATATTTCAAAATTGATGATGTGACATCATGATGTGATGACGTCATAAAGGAGAATGCAAGACATTACACGGCAAAATCAGTAAAAAATACTTAAAATCACTTAAAAAGCATGAAATAAAGAGAAAATTTATTTGTTTTATATATAAGATTTAAAAATATTTCCTTCGTGAACACCAGCTATTCTATTTTCACTCGTGGCTATGCCACTCGTGTAAATATTGCATCTGGTGTCCACTCAGTGAAATATATCTCAATCTTACATGCAAAACAAATATCCTCTATATGACATTAAATGTTTGATTTCAGATTTATCTGGATAAAATAACATATTATACTGCTATGTTTAATGTTGTCATGGGTTTATTCAGTCGCTATGCTCGTACAGAAAATGTCTATGAAAAGGAGAAAAGATTAAGAGGTTTGAAAATTTTTGTTAACATATTTTACCTCTTATATTTTGCATTTCTTTTGTCTTCAAATGACTTTTTTGGCTCTCCTGATATTGCTTGTTAAATATCCCTTAAAATGTTTTTTTTTTGGTTTACATAAAATATTTTACAAGCATTTATGAACGTATATTTATTATAGTATACTTGTTTATTAAAAATGTCACACTGAAGCAGAATATTCTATAAACAAGAAAACTGAACTTGCTTTTAATTAGCTCACCTGAGGACAATGTCCTCAAGGTGAGCTTTTGTGATGGCCCATTGTACGTCGTCCATCGACTGTCGTCGTCTGTGCGTCCATCCGTACGTGTGTGCATCAACAATTTCTTTGAACAACTTCTCCTCCTAAACCACTTGGCCAAATTGGTTGAACCTTTGCATGGATGTTCCTTGCATGAAGCTCTACCAAAGTTGCTCAAAGAATTGGATCCATCAAAAACTCTGGTTGTCGTGGCAAACAAAAGATTATTTTTACAATAAATCTTAAAAAATCTTATTGTAAAAAACTGAAAGAGTTACAGCTTAAATATTTGGCATGAAACATCTTCTAGTGGATGTCTACCAAGTTTGTTCACATAAAAACATAGGGTCAAAATTGACCCCGACCCAGGGGTCCATTAATTTTCCTTATTTGTATATAGTTAAAACTTAAACAATCTCCTTGTGACAATCCAAAAGCACTATAGATTAGATAATTGTCATGAAACATCATCTAGTGGATGTCTACCAAATTTCTTCAAATTAATGCCCAGGGTCAAAATTGACCAGGGGTCATTGATTTTCCCTTATATGTATAAACTAAACACTAAAAAATCTTCTCGTGAAAATCCAAAAGAGCTACAGCTAAGATATTTGGCGAGAAACATCTTCTAATGGATGTGTTCCATGTTTATTTAAATAAAAGCCCTAGGGTCAAAATTGGCCCCACCCCAGGGGGTCATTGATTTTCCTTATATATACATGTATATAGTAAAAATTAAAAAAAAAATCTTCTAGTGAAAATCCAAAAGAGCAACAGCGTTGATATTTGGCATAAAACATCTTCTAATAGATCCCGTCCCTAGATTTGCCACTAAAATGCCACCCTTTTCAATGGTGGAGTATTTAGACAATTTTCCACCAATAATGCCACCAAAACGCCACCAAAACGCCACCCAAATCATGAAAATGGTGAAAAATTTGAGCAGGACTGATGTTATATAATTTTCCAGTTAATTCCACCTTTTTTACACTAAATGCCACCAATGAGTGGAAAATTGGTGGAGTATTTAGACAAACTTTCACCATAATGCCACCATTATGCCACCTTAGGGTGGCAAACTCATTTTCCACTAGATGCCACTTGTTTCCACTTATTGCCACCATAATGGTGGAAAATTGGTGGAGTATTTAGACAAATTTCCACCATTATGCCACCATTGAGTGGCAAACTTATTTTCCACCAAATGCCACTTATTTCCACCTTTTGCCACCATAAGGGTGGAAAATTGGTGGAGTATTTAGACACTTTTCCACCATTTTGCCACCAGATAGTGGCAAATTCAGTTTCCACTAAATGCCACCTATTTTCACCCTTTCAGAAATTTTCCACCTTGTGGGTGGCAATAGCTGGAAACTGCTTGAAAGTCACCCTGTACCCTAAATTGGAAACAAACAAATTTTAAAAAATAATCCTTTTTAATGTTTCCATATGAAATTATATATTGTCTCAAAAAATAGCAAAACATTAGTCCATTTATTTTCTTCAGTTTATCTTGCTATTCCTGGACGGTTTGAGTTCAGTCCTTTAGGTTGTCGGCAACTTTTCGAGCGCACAATCTAAAAAAAAAAAAATTATGAATGATTAATACAATAATTAAAAACATAAGCTTACATTTTTATATGACTATTGGATATTTTTTATATTCAATTTGAGTGCATAGATATGATTAAAACACTTTAAAAAACAGCACTGCAGACGTGGAAGAATCAGACTTTTCTTATTTACTCCAAGGCAGAAAATATACGCAGAATCAAAAATGATATTTTCATTCAGTTCATTAGTTACCTTCCAAGAACTTAAGTTTTGCCTTGTCTGCACAAGAAGGTCTGGCGTCAGACTCTCTGTTCCCTTTCCTCATACCAAACAATGAGTGGCCTTTAATCTCTTCTATATTGAATAGCATTCTGAAGAGCTTTGCTGTACCTTTCTTACTTTTGAGGCATATGGCATCAGTTCTGCCATCACTTGGTCCTAAAATATGATTAACAATATCAAATAAAGACAGAAAATGATTATCAATATCTAATATGTAAAGACAGAAAATGAAACACTTTTATAAGACCTTGGTATATGACTTTTGTATACAACTCTAAAATTTTAAAATAAGAAAGAAATAAAGAAATACAACACATCAACACCAGTGCAGGTTGAGTAATTAACAATCTTCCAGTTTCAGTTCTAAACGAACCTTCATCAGGATAAATATTTGATAAAATTTTCAAGCTAAAATGTACAAAAACTCTAAAATTTGTAAAACAAAATGTAAATGCAAATTAAAGTGTCATAAAGAGTTTGAATTAAAGTAGGTTTGTAAATAGTGACTAATAGCTATATTTATCAAGAACTGAAAAGTGTCTTATTGGGTACTGTGACACTTCTTTCCTATTAATTCTAAAATAACTTTGAATTAACAAGATACCTTTGTAAAGCCACTGAAGATCAAATGTGTTGCTCCAGGCTGCTCCTCATTGCTTTGTGTCTGCAAAATAATAATTCTTATTTAATGCTGTTTCTGTTATGAACTGTCATTCTCCTAATAGCATGTTACTCTAGACTGTCTAGTTATGGTTATATAATTATCTACTGCACCATGAAAGCTGAATTACAACAATGAAGGAATGAAACTTACTAATAAATCAGTTACTGTTAATCTGCTCCACATGTGACACACAAGGAAAATTGTTTTATAGCATGAAAGTTGTAGTAATAGGTACCTCAGGTTATCTATAGTTTGATTGATGTAATATTGTACATAATGATATTGTACTTACTGATTAATTTCTATATTTTTTTTCTCAAACTTAAAATTTCTAACATATTGTATTTAAGAAATGATGAAGATCTTCCTACATTCTTTATATTCCTACATTCTTTATATGTACATTGTACATGCAGCTTTCTTTTTAGTCAAGTTACAAACAAAACAAATATAAAACACAATTTTATACAATACCACTTCATATTTTTACTGTCAAAAAACTAAACAGTTTCTGCATAAATAACAATAATTATTGTATGTAAAAGTTGTTTACCTGAAACTTTGACTGGGAATGATTCTGCTGTTTATCTTCTTGTCTACACATTCACACTTCAGTTAAAACTTCTCATTTCTATTTACCACACTAATAAGACTTTAAATGTTTTCTTTGAGAAATCAAAAATATGCACCCTTACATTTTAAACAAAATATCTCCAGAATTGCTACAATATCAATAATTTCCTTTGTGTTTGCAAGCTTTGACTGACCTCAATTCCTTTGAATTCAAACTTTACAACGGTGTAACTGCATGGACAGTCCATTATAATTTTAAATTGTGAGGGATTTTCCAAAAACCATAGCACCCATCATTTTATTTTTTACATTCATTTGAATGTATAACTATATCTAATACCTAAATAGATTGAGTAGAAATAAGCTTTTGAAAGATAATTTAGCATGCTGTTTTAAGACAAATTCTACATAAAAACATGTATAATGTTGCCTCTCCCAAAATAATCAAATGGAACATTCTGGTCAGCATGAGTAAACTATTAACCCCCATTCATGGATTACTAGATAAGAGGGCAGTAGTTTTATCAGATCTGAGATGTATGCTGTGTTGTTAAATCTTAGAGGATGCAGTATTTACTAGCTAGTATTTACTTATCCTGATTGTAAGAAATTTATCAGACATTATGACTTATTTACTTTTCACACATTAATTTTTACAATAGATTTAAAGCCTCTGAAAGCATAGCACAAAAGATGTTAGAGACAATAATTTTAAAACTCCACATATAACTAAATCTCATTTATGAGAAGTTACAATGCCAAGGAACCATAACTTTTTATTGCATGATTTGGGGTTTATTGCCATTTTTTACTTCTCTATGCTTAATTTTTGTCTTGATCATTAAGCTTAAAAAGTACTGGAGATATTAATTTGAAACTTCACAGATATAGATCTTTTTGAGTAATGTGCTGTGTTTAAGAACCATAACTCTTTGCATACTTTTGGAGTTATTGCCCTTTGCATTTTTCACTTTAATTATTGTTAGCATTACATGAAAAGTGTTAGTACTCTCCAGATATCAGTTTAAAGTAATATTGAAGAGACAATTTATTATGTCAATTAGAAGAAAAGACAAAAGTCAAACTTTATTCAAGATTGACATTAAATATCATAGAAGAAGCAACAAACTTTATGCAGAGATATGCATTTTCTGGGCATAGAAGAACATTTCAACTATTTAATTAATGTACAGATTATAACTAAAGAACAAAGTACACTTTAAAAGCCGTAATTTTATTTTACAAGCATAGAATGGAACATAAACATTTTGACTTGAAAGTCAAATTTTACATCCCTAAAGAAAAGTACTGCCATAAAAAATGGGAAGTTAAGTAACCCATACTTTTCTAATTTTTCCTGATCATAATTATATGTGTTTAACGCCTGGAAAAGTGATTTTACGTCCAATTTCTGTGTCTTTTCCTGCTACTTTACAGCTGGAATTATCATACCGTTACTGTGAGGCAGTGACTTTGTATCAGATTGTGTTCATGGCATTCTAGTATGTTTTAAGAAATATGAGTTTCTGATAAAATTTTCTAACTGTTCAACTTCAATAAATTATATTTTTGATAAAAAGTTCACTTGATGCTTTGGTAGAGTACAAACTATAAACAGATTTATTTCAGTTTGGAGCTTTGACTTTAAATAAATCTTAAACCCTGCAATGCACAATTATTAGATTTCTCAGTTTTTTCTACCAATTTTTTATACAACCCAGAAAATAGTTAAGAGTTTCCCTTTTCGACTAAAAGTTATTCACAAAATTTTCTAAGTTTTTTTTTCCACTATTTTGCCACCCAGAAAATAGTTAGAGTTTCACTTTTCCACTAAAAGCCACTCATTTTCCACCTTCAAAATAAACTAAGTTTCATTTTTCACCAATTTCCACCCTTTTGCCACCATAAAAAAAGTCTATGTTCAAATTTCCACTCAATGCCACCTAAATGCCACCAAAGGATAGTGGCATTTGGTGGCAATTTTGCCACTACAGTGGAAAAAGAGTGGAATTTTGTCATTTTCCAGTTAATGCCACCTTTTTTACACTTAATGCCACCCTTTTCAGTGGAAATTGCTGGCAAGTAGTGGCAAATCTAGGGACGGGATGTCTGCCAACTTTGTGCTTATAAAAGTCCTAGGGTCAAAATAAGCCCAGCCCAAAGGGTCATTGATTTTTCTCTTATGTGTATAGTAAAAACTGTAAATTTTTTGATATTTGGCATGAAACACGTTTTAGTGCATTTCTACCATGTTTGTTGAAATAAAACCCCTAACCCAGCAAACAAAAGACGTTGTACCAACGTTGTACTGACGTTAGACCCTGACGTTGGGTAAACGTTGGCAGAAGGTTGGATTTGAAAGTTTTTTAGACGTCAGAAACCGACGTCTATACAACGTCATAAAATGACCTTTATCCAACCTTTTCTGACCATAATCCAACCTTTTCTGACTATTATCTGACCATAATCCAACCTTTTCTGACCATTATTTGGACATAATCCAACCTTTTTCTGACCATAATCCAACCTTTTCTGACCATTATCTGACCATATGCCAACCTTATCTGACCAAATTTTCTGACCATGATTTAACCTCTTTCAAAACTTTTGGAATATGTTTTTTTTTTTCATTTTGAAGCTCTTTAATAGGGTTAATAAATAAGCATTCTTATGGTTTTAGCAATTTATTTTATACTCGGAATCACAAGTACAAAACAAGAAATGTGGTACTATAACAAATGCAAGATTTACATAATATTTTTTTGAAACTATTAAACTTGACGGTATGTACTTTAATAACGCTTCATGTATTAATTAAGCATGTTTTAGAAATAAAATAAACAAAATCCTTCTTGAATATTAACACTGACATTTTATATAGCAAACATCCATGCATGTGTTTTTTCTCATATCACCACTGAACTGATAACTCTGAGTTTGGGATTTTTCAATCATCTATCCAACTCACTGATTGTATATTTGTCTTTGTATTCTATAACTGAATCTAGATCTTAATGTTAAATGGAACAATATTCTGAATATTTTGTTATAACTATAAGTAGCAATGTTCATGTATCTTCATTAGTATTCTAGCTTCTTTCGTCCTCCTACGCTATGTCGATCTGGGGCATACTATAAGCGTATCATTACCGTCTCCAACCTGAGATCTCATCACACTTTCTGAAATTAAAAAAATTAAAATAATCAGTTACAAAGGCAAAAAATAAATCACTTATACATATTATAATTAAACAAAATTCTAACAAAACTCTCCAACTACTTAAAAAGATACTTATTATTTTTAATTTAGTTTAAACCATGTAGTTTCGTGTACCTACTGTATATATCTATTAATTTTGATAAAAATGGCTTCGTGAATTTCATTATTAAATCAAGGGTAATAAGATCACTGTATTTTCTATAATATTTTGAAATATACCTGTCACAAAATCTTGGTACGTTTTCATTTTTCTTTTCCTCTAAATATTTTCATCTTCCGCCTGAACTTTTGACACATGTTGAATTATCATACTTTTCACAATCTGAAAATGTAATCGTTTTAGAATTTAACCATGTGGTGGAAGGATGTTTGTCTAATACAATAGGCAAAATCCAATTACTATTAATCTTAGTTAACTCATAAGCGCATGAAAAACTGATCTAACAAATACCAAAATGAAATTAATTCTACTCCCGCAAAAATTGATATTGTTATTTTTTTGTATTCAATGTACTTTGTACAAATGCTCATACAACATCAAAGAAATTCACATGTTACTGCCATTTTTATAGATATTATCTCTGCCCAGCATGATCTGGTCTGCTAAGTGTATATAGGACAGACTGGCTTAGTGTAAAAACGTTTTATGATACGAGCATACAACTTGTTGATAAGCAGGCTAATCAACAAACTATTACTTTTATTGATTTATAACTATGATAATGTGTTTTCTGATTGATAATATGTTGTTTGATTACATTAATAAAAAGATAGCTAGTCAAATACAATGTGCTTTCAGATATATCTTACCAAAGTCGTATCATTTACATGTATCAAATGCCATGAATCATTATCATAATATAAGAAACACATGGTATGCTAACAGTATGGGTAAAGTACTTCAATTAACTAGTAGTTTAACAACTACACAGATATCAAAATCAAACTGCATCTGATACATGTGTAAATGACTGGCCCCTCATATAAGGGAAATTCATGTTGATAAGAAATAAGAGGAACTTTTATTTACCAGCATTTGAATAATTTAAGAGTCTTACATACTGCATTTAACTTTTTATTGATTTCAATTGCTAGGATATTTCCTGGCATTGATTGTGCATTTATTTGGCATGGCGATATAGTGTGGGAAAAATGATCCGATTATACAGACTGTTCTATAGCAAATGATAAAGTGTTCTTACGTGGAAACAAAAATATTTATCTCGCGAAATCACGTTACATTAAGTTTTACCAGTCAAACATTTCAATGATCAAATAACCGTCGAATCCATGCAAACATGCGGTAAATTAGCATTGAAAAACAATATATAATGTGTGCCTACCTTTTTCTTTTGTTTGGAATATACAACTTTGTATGTCAACCCGTCGTTTTTTTGTCCGCCAATACAATTGAATTTCAAATCCGATAAGTCGCAAATTCGAATTTACTAAATTATTTACCACTATAAAATGAAGACCTCAAAAATGATAACAGCTTCATTGTAAATTATATAAACACTTCTTAGACTAATTCGAGGAGATAAGATATTATTTAAACGGAAATAGAGCAAATATATTTCATACTGATCTGCGACTATCCGTTTACAGAGCGCCACCTATCGAATATCGTACGTTAGCCACCCACGTGATACTGTTGTTTTGATGGAGAAAATAAATATATAATGTTCCCTTTCTAAACTTAAACTTAAAATTCTCGCTGTTTATGCTTTCATTTATATATATATTGGTTTCATAAATTAAATTCACCTATTGTCAGATTACCGACCAAAACCCGACGTCGAGTCGACGTCAAAATAAAACGTCTGTTAGACGTCGGGGATTCAACGTCGATTTGACGTTGTATAAAGGTCACCGACGTCGCGACCAAAATTCAACGTTGATCCAACGTTGGGTCAACGTCGGGTGTTTGCTGGGAAGGTGATAATTGACCCCACCTCAGGGGATTAAGGTCGACAGTTCAATCCCCAGGCATGTCAAATGTTTGTTTTCCTTCTTTTTTTCTGTCATCTTTTTATTAGCTTTACCTTTCACAGCCTACTGGCTGAACTGTTTGATAAAATGGTTGCCAGAGCTAAAATTAGAAAACAAGAGCTAAACAACATCTCAGCTACTGGTTCAATTTTAAAATAATTTTACACCAAAATTTTCCTGGTGTCAGTGTACAAAAATTGTTCAGATTATGCTGTTCCTTGTTTTCAAATTGAGCTTCTCAGTTCTGGGGTGAAAAGGGGCTCCACTTTTGACCGTTTGACCTATTTGTCAGGTGAGCGATCCAGGGCCCTATGGGCCTCTTGTTTCAGAAATGAGTGATGTAGGGTTAATGATATATATGATAAACGGTATAGGTTATATTTCACTCATTAGTTTTGTATTCCACAATTATATTATAAAACTTACTCATAGTTACAGGTAATGAAGATGATGGGGTACACTGGTGGGCGTGGTTTATAACTGCCGTGGTACAGATGACTGTTACCCTGGTAACGCTGACGTTGATGTTATACTATGGACGTGTACTATCTCATAGTAATCCAGTCATAGTGTTTATGTTCCTGGAAATGTTTGCCCTGTCTTCTATTGCTTTTTTGTAAGTATATCACTTAAAGGAACTAGACTTTGGTCGTAAAGCCTGAAAACGTGATATTTAAAAATCATTTATTACCCTTCCAGATTTTTTCCTCCTTTTTGATTGGATATTGGTCACCCGAAAGAAATTGATATTACCGAGCCAGACGGGTAATATACACACTAAATTTCCTGTTGGGTACCCCACGTTGTAAACAACATGCGCTGTGGCGATGCCCGTACGGTTTAATTTTACGCGATGTAAATTCCGATTTACAAGCACTTTTTAACTGTCAAATGATAAATATTTACCAAAATAGAGTAATGATACATATTCTCATCAGTATTGAAAACAAATATGACCTTGTGAAAGCTTGATATTAATTCCAAAAAAGTGCTTTCAACAGACTACCCCTTTTCTCTTGTTTACTTTTGTTAGGTTCGAAAGAACATACGTCATATATTTATGTGACATCATGTTGTGGTGAAGGGGACCTTAAAGGGAATCTTATTTTGACGTTTCATAAGAAGTAGCAGTGATTTATATCAAAATTGTCTTAACCCGGCAGGGGAAGGGTAATAAAATTATTATTTTAGTTTTGGAGTGATATATGTGGATATATTACCTGCCAAGATAAAATATCACCCTCTCCTAACGGCTCGGGTGATATAAAATCTTGACAGGTAATATATCCACATATATCACTCCAAAACCAAAATAACATATAATATAGAGTAAACGGAAAAATATGATAAAACAATAAAAAATATACCCGAAATTCAATATATTGAAGATCAATAATTGGTGTTATTGAAGCCCAAATTGAGTCAAAAGCATCTTGATTGTTTTCTGTTGTGTTTCAGGTTTTTAATTGACAGTATGTTCTCTCGGGCTAAACTTGCTGCAGTATGTGCGGGTATATTTTACTTTATAACATAAACCGATTAACATTAACAGAAACCATTTCTGGTGGGTTACATCTATAGGCCACCTTCATCATTGGCATCATGGAATGATAAAATTGAAGAAATCCTTGATAAAATATTTATTGAAAACAAAGAATTAATTCTTTTTGGAGATTTCAACTATAATTTTGTTACAAATTGCTCAAATAATACAAGGTGGAATAATATTATTAACACATTTAACCTTTCTCAACTTATAACACATCCTACAAGAGTCACACCATTGACTTCAACCACTATTGACCACATTTACAGTAACCAGCCACATAATGTATCCTACACTGCAGTCCCTATACTCTCTATAAGCGACCATTATCCTATATTTTTCACACGACGAACAATTAAAACTGTTAACAAAGGTCCAATGCATGCCACTATAAAATATAGGTACTTAAAGAACTTTAATGCAGAAAATTTCTTACATGAATTGTCAGAGCAGCCATGGTCTCTCATTAACATGTTTAGTGATCCAGATGATGCTTTAGACACATTTAACAAATTATTTTTACAAACTTTAGATAAGCATGCTCCATTCAAGCAGAAACGAGTAAAACATAGAAACCAAGCTGATTGGTTTAATGATGATATAGCTGATGCAATACAAAAAAGGAACTATGCAAAAAAGAAAAATAATATTCATGACTTCAAATACTGGAAATCACAAGTAAAAACATTAACACATAAAGCAAAAACAGATTTCTTTGAACAAGAGATAAACTCAAACAAGAAAAACCCTAGAAAATTATGGAAAAACTTAAAAATTCAATCTGGCAAAACAGAAAATCATCAAACAAACTACATAAATGATGAGAATGGTTCACCAATAACTGACCCAAAATCAACAGCAGAAACTTTTAACAACTTTTTTGCAAATATATTTAAAAAGGCTGAAAACATTAATGAATTATCGGATTCTATGAAAACCGCTTTAAATGATTCTCTGAAATCTGACACTCTAAATCATTCTAATAAATTCAAAATACCCTTTGTTGAAATAAGTTATGTCAAACAAAAGTTGGACAGTCTTGATATTACAAAAGCAACTGGTTTAGATGGCATAAGTGCAAAATTCCTAAAAACAGCCTCAGACGTCATTTGTAAACCTCTCTGTTCTGTAATAAATCTAAGTATAGAACATGGAAAATTCCCAACGCAGCTTAAACAATCAAAGGTTATACCTGTCTACAAAAAAGGGTCAAAATCAGACAAAAATAACTATAGACCAATATCAATACTTCCACTTATTTCTAAAATATTTGAAAAGCATGTATCAGACCATTTGAAATGCTTTCTAGAAAATAATAATTTACTTTTCACTACACAGTCCGGTTTCAGAACAAGCCACTCCTGTGAAACAGCACTTACAAATATAGTTGATAACTGGATCAATACACTAAACAATGGCAAACTTGTTGGTACACTTTTTCTGGACCTATCTAAGGCATTTGACTTAGTAAACCATAACCTACTACTTGAAAAACTACCTTTTTATCATCTCTCTTCACAAGCTATAAATTGGATTAAATCTTATCTGTCAGAAAGGTATCAAAAAGTAAATGTTTCTGGTGTATTATCTGAACCAGCTGAAGTTGTCTCAGGTGTACCCCAAGGCTCAGTCCTTGGGCCCCTTCTATTCATTATTCATCAATGATCTACCATTTCATATCAAACAATCAATTACTGATATGTTTGCAGATGACACTTCTCTGACAACTACTGGCAATACTTTACAAGAAGTAAACAGCAACCTTCAAAAAGATCTTGATAATGTTAACACATGGTGCATGCAAAATGCAATGGTTCTGAATGCTCAGAAATCTAAAGCTATGCATTTATCAACAAAAAGCACAAAAACAGATAATATGCAACCCCCTACTTTGTTTCTTAATAACCAAGAAATAGAATACACAAACACTAAAAAACTACTTGGAATGTATGTAGACAACAATCTTAAATGGAAAACACAGGTCCAGTCAACTATAAAAAAATGCAACTCACAGCTTTATTTACTTCTTAGACTTAAACAGTATCTTAATCTTCATTCAAGAAAACTTTTTTTTAATGCATACATACTGCCTCACTTGGACTACTGTTGTACTATTTGGGGAAACTGCAATAACGAATTACTATCTGATGTCATTAAATTTCAAAAAAGGGCAGCAAGAATACTCCTTGACTCCTTGACACCATCAAGTGAATTATTCAAAGAATTAAACTGGATGTCTTTTGACCAAAGAATCAAATACAAAAAGTCAATTCTTATGTATAAATCAATTAATGAACCTGACTTTCCAACATATATGAAAAATAAATTCCAGACAGTAAACGAAAGGCACAACTTAAACCTCAGATCAGCACAAAATGCAAAGCTAATTATACCAAAACCTAAAACAGAATTCTTCAGAAAATCATTCGCATACTCTGGACCAAAAATTTGGAATGACATACCAGTACATATAAGAAATTCCGATACTCTTCGGAAATTTCAATCAGCTTATATCAAATGGCAGTTTTCACCTTAAACTAGCTGTTGATTTATTCCTGTTGTATAAATTACTTACCTGTACTTTTATTATTACTATATTACTATTGTTATCGTTTCTTTTACTTTTGTCCCATATTTTCCCAATAGGAAAATTTATGATTCAATGATGCCAAATGATGATTTCCTACTCCAACTGAACTTAAATTTATGTATATATGTACCGGTAGATATATTTTAGTTATATTTAAAATAACTCATGAGCCAATATGTATTAGATAATAATATCACTTAAATTATCATTTGAATTTCCATGGTGTATTTATAAGTATAAATATTGTTTTAAATATGTACTAAATATTGTTTTAAACAGGTACTATGTTAGTTTTACCTATCTGTACATATTGCTCTTTTTCTCTGTATTATTGTACAATCATATCATCTTTTGCTTTATCAATCATTACTTCAATTTAATTGATCTATTTTAATAATATTTGTGTATATATGTTGTGTATATGTTGTGTACATGTAAACTGATTGTAATAATGTTATGCTGAGGCCAACATGGAAGATCGGGAAACTGAATGTGTAAGCCTCGTTAAATAAAGTCGTTACTTACTTACTTACTTACTTACTTACTATAACATACATACCATACATGTATATAGCCATCAGAGAGGATTTAACGCGGACCAGGATACCAGCATACATTAAAACTATTGCTGTAAGTATCTGACATAAAACTTCATGAACATAATACATGTTGGCCCTTACCCAGCTGTAACCAAGTGTCACACTAGAAAGTTAAGTGTAGAATTTAAAGATGATAACAATAGTAAAATTTGTCAAGGGCATTAGACATTGCTGCCTTGAGCAGGACATTTTAGACACATTTACCTCGGTACAGGTTGGTTCCAGGAGCAGATTTGAAAAGTATGTCTATTATAAGCTTATAGCTTCATACACAATCAAACTTAAATAAATTCTGTATAAAGCAAAATACTAAGTCACTATAATAATGTTTCTAATTCACAGAAAGCCATAAAACCAAAATATGGTTCAGTTATGAAATGGCAGATGAGTTATAAACTGTCTGTAAGATACAACAGAACACCAAAACTAAAAATACTTTTGTGAAATAAAAATAAAAATATTTCTGAGGGATATTTTGTCTTAAAAATAAGAAATTAATGAAACAGAATACATTGTATTTTTTATAATCTCGGTAATAAAAACTTATTTTTCAGGCAATATTTCCAACATCAGCTCTGGGTGTAGGCGGGAAGTATTTCCTGTTTTATGAGTTAGAGGGATCAGGTGTACAGTGGGAGAACCTACATGTGTCACCACGGGAATATGATAATTTTAGTCTACAGATTGTGTTGATAATGATAGCAGTGGACACAGTTGTTTACTTTATACTGGCCTGGTATATAGAGAATGTACATCCAGGTAAAATTAGAACTTAGTCTTTTATTCTATTCAGAACTTAAACCAGTTAATGTAATTATGCAAATCATCCTGAATTTTCTAGTGTTTGCATCGAAACTGCCATTAACTTAGTTTCACCCTATAGACCCTTTCATTTAAGCGATAACAGTCAGTGAAGAGTTACTTCCCTTACTGGATGTGACGTAAATGGGGGATAAAACTATGCATGCCGCATAGACAGTTAGCTTAATGAAAAGTTAAATGCGTAAATACTGATCGTTCAGTTATGATTATAACATGTAAAAATTTACGCATGCATACATAAATTTTATATCAAGACAATAGAAAAAGAATACAAAATCAAAGATTGAGATTAATTCTCGCTACGGAGTGAAACAGCGAAATTTCAAAGTGAATATATTTATTAGATATAGATTTTCTCTAATGCCAGGATAAAAAGCTAGAAACTAAATCAAATTTTAATATTCTATAAACACCCATACAAACTGAAATTGCCTATTATAAATTTAAATGGCCATTTTCTAGTTTTCTGTGTTATTTTCTGTCATTTAGAAAATTCCGGCGTATTTGTGACAAACCTGAAAATAAGATTGCCAATGTCTTTTAATAATTGTTTTTCAAGCTTTAATAGAACAAAAACAGAATGCATTCTGGCAATACTTCATTATGCCGTATAAAACAATATTTCAAAGAACCAGTGAAGGATATTATTTTATAAATATCCGGATA